TTGGGCCCTCAGGCCACTCTCAGGAAATCTGTTTATAATTGTTTGGTCAGAGACCAAGTGGCCTGCTAGAAGGCATTTTCTAGGGCTCTGGCAGTGCTCATCCTGTTTCTCCTTGCACAAAAGGAGCAGGTACTGGTTCTTCTGAAGGGTTATGAACCTTCTATGGCCATGTCCAGCTCTCCTAGATTAATTGCCTGTCTCCTGGAATCTCCTCCATGGTCTTGAGACTGTGCTGGGAAACACAGCAAACCTATGGGTTTCCCTTTCTATCCCAAACAATTCTTCTCGCAGTTGTGGCTGCAATCTTTCTTGGTCTACCTAACCTTGGTTTGGTATCAAGAGATACCCAAACTTTCCACTTCTTAATAAGTGATTTAACAATACTAATTGGCATATTCAAGGCTTTGGACATCTTTATATGTCCTTTTCCATCTTTATAAAGTCCCAATACCTTGTTACGCAGGACGTTTGACAGTTCTTTTCTGATCCCCATGGCTCAGTATCTAGCCTAGTCATTGACTATTTATACAGTGGCACTAATTGCAATTTAAAAAGCCACAGATGTGGGACATTAACTCTAATTGGCATTTTAACCCGTGTATGCCACCTTGTGTGTCTATACCAAAGTCATACATTCCAGACTTTCCATCATGGCAATTTGGGTGATTTCTGTTATCATTATGATTTAAAAAGGAGCCTAACAACTATTTGATAATAAATAGCTTCATATGATCTTGAAGGATAATCTTCAATAAAAGAGCATTTTTTGGTATGATCAGTCATATTTTCAATATCAATACCAAAATTTCACAATTTCTGCCAGGGTATGCAAACTTTTGAGCACAACTGTAAGTGAGAAGGCTGTTTTCGCCAAAATCTAAAAGTTGGTCAATGAGTGAAGGTAATGGGCAGTATTAACTGGTAAAGGCACACTGAGGTCTAACAGCAGGTGGACACTGGGAGCACATTTGTGTTTGGTGAGTGGATATCACATTGAGTTGGAGCACGGGAAGATTTAAATTTATTTATTACAGTGGACTTTGAGGATTGTTGTGAATCAGTACTTTTGCACCTTATGAACTTGCACTTTATGAGTTAACATTATGTATAGCACTAAGTCATAATTCGCTGTATTTTTGATGATATTATGAGATATATGTTGGATCACAATTTTAATTTATTTATTATTTATGCATGTTTTTTGGTGTAGCACTTTTTGGATATTGTGAGACCACTGAGGCATTATTATACCTGAGAAATTATAGCAGAGCTGAATTCCACACATTGTGATGCTGTCCTAATGTGGAGGAATGCCAGATACAGCAATGTATTTTGTAATGATATTTTTGAGGCAGTGAATCTTGTGTGGCAGAACAAGAGTAATAACTCCTGAAGGACTGATAATTGGGTACTACTTTAGTGGTACTTGTTAAAGAATAACTGCAGTGCCTGAAATCTATACATACTTTCATCGATTTTGGATATATTTGTGTTACCTCTTAGGATCCATATACAGGACGTCTGCTCAACAACAAGTCACTTTGCCTTGTCATAGGTTAATGTAGAATTGTCACTGATTAACATTGGTTCAGTGTTTTGTTTCACATATTCTATACAAATATTGATTCTTGGACACCTTTGTAAAAGGCTCAGGACTCATCATTAAAAAAATGATATGAGCTAATCAGTCTGTTCTCTGAAAGGTGGATGTGGCTACACAAATCCTTCAAAGAGGTAATTTTATATGTTTTTGAGTATTTCAAAATGATAATGAACTCATTATAGATCTATGTGATTTTTTCATTTAAAATAACAAACATGTTATACTTACCTGCACTGTGCTATGGTTTTGCACAGAGCAGCCCTGATCCTCTTCTTCTGGCATCCCCCCCCCCCCCCCCCCCCCCCCCCCCCCCCCCCCCCTCCCCCCCCCCCCCCCTCCCCCCCCCCCCCCCCCCCACCCCCCCCCGGAGATCCTGACTCATCCTCTTCAGCAAGTGCCACCATAGGATTCTGCTTCTTATGGGGGCATGCATGTTGGGCTTGCTCCTGAGGAGCCTTGTCTGCATCCATTGACACAGACAGTAAGACTCAGCCCTACCGCCCCCGGCGCTCCCCCTTGTCACAAAATTTAATTGACAGCAGCAGGAGACAATGGCTCCCACTGCTATCAATCTGTCCAGTGAGGAGGGACAGAGCTGGGAGAGCCACTGTTCTCGTGCACATCATTGGATCAAGATAAGGCTCAAGCAGGGGCGGACTGACCATTTGGAAACTCGGGCACTGCCCGAGGGCCCTGGGTCAGTAGGGGGCCCCATGAGATGCCCCTGGTACCTTTTTCATAGGCTTTCTTGAGTTTGGGCAAGGACACAGGGGCCCCATGATCCCCTATTGCCCGGGGGGCCCCATGAGTTGTCAGTCCGCCCCTGGGCTCAAGTAAGTATAAGGAGGGGCTGCGGTGAAGGTAACACATGCAGCAAAGATTTTTTTACCTTAATGCATAGAATGCATTATAGCCCACTTAGAGGTCCATCAGGAAGCAGAGTGAAGGAGATAAATGATATTGTGTTATTGGTAAACTCCAGACTTTTGAGGGATTGAGAGACCATAAAGCTTTATATTTTTTCATAATTATAATAATAATTACAGTGACCAACAATTTGCTAAAATCTTTATTTGTGGTGTTTTTATTTAACCAACATATACTTCCTATGGGGATAATGGCAATGCAATAGCCCCTAATTGCTTCCCTAAAAAGTACATTTACTTTGGAATATTAATTTAATAGGAAGTATAATTTCTACTGGATATTTAACTTTATACTTTATAAATGATATGGTGAATCCTCTTGAATTCCCACTGTTTTTCAGTAACATAAACATTGCTGTTTTTTTTACTAAAACTGGAGGGTGCAAAATCTGGTGCAGTTCTGCATAGAAAGCATTCAGCTTCCAGGTTTTATTGCCAAAGCCTAATTGAACTATCTGAGGTTAGAAGTTGATTGGTTTCTATGCAGGACTGCATCAGATTTCGCATCCTCCAGGTTCAGTAAATCTCCCCCAGTGACTATAAATGTACTTACTATTTGGGAAAGTAAAAATGTTTTCAGGATAAAATTCATGTTAAATAAATATGGAAGTGGTTATAGATTTTTACCTATGATATAATATTTATTATATAGATATACTTAAATCTCCCTAAATATTTATCTGAGGAAGTGGACACAAATTCAAGAAATGTATCAGGACTAAAATTCCCTTGGAAGACCATTGTGCATAACTGATGTTTTAAATTTTGATCATATGTTGTAAAAGTACGTATTCATTATGTAAATTGTCATTATGACAAAGAGTAAAGTGACAGTTTTTATATTTTATGTTTTAATGAATTACGTTTGTTTAAATCGGTATTTTTTTGCTAGAAAATTACTTATAACCCACAGACATATATTTTTTTTTTTTTAGCAAAGACCCTACAGAATGAAATGCCAATCATTGAAATGTTTTATGTCACATGGTATTTGCACAGCAGTTTTTCTGGAACAAATACATTTTAATTAACCTCCCTGGCGGTATTCCCGAGTGTAGCTCGGGGTAACATTTCAGTACCAAAAGCGGTAACCCCGAGCTACACTCGGGAATACCATGCGGCGCTGCTCCGGCATGTGTTCTTCAGTTACCTTACCCTGCGCTCCCACGATGTGTCCCCCTGCAGCGTCCCCGGCCATCTCCTCCGGCCGATGCCGGCATCCGGCTTCTGTGTCCTGTCCCTGTGACGTCGGGACGTACGGGCGCCGCCGCCGCCGCCGGCGGGAAATTTAAAAATTTTAAAAAATGTCATTTTTTTTTTTTTTCATTTTACACAGTAAAACATTGCTGTTTCAACCTATTTCACATACATATTGTCCCTAGTGCTTTGTCCTGTGCCCTGCCTGCATTTTGTCTGTTCTTTCTGCCTGGAAACTGAGAAATGTCCATGGCGTCCAAAAAGTGTCCCTTTAGGTCAAAAGCGGTTTAGATCAGCTAGAGACAGCGATAGTAAATCAGAACCACTTGCAGAATTGAGTGATAATGATTCGTGGGGGAAATTCATCATCAGAAACTGAAAACGATTTTGCGACTGAGCTCAGCAATGTGCGAACTTGGCGCTCTATTTCACATTTCAGTGTTTTTGGTTTGATTATATTATTGAATTAAATTTTTTATTATTTTTATATTATTTTTATGATTATTTATTAAATTATAATTTATGATTTTGTGTTTCAAATTTTATCATACCCGGGATGTTTACTAGACTCTTGTTCGGACAGATTTCAGTGAGTTTTTCCTAAAAATTACAGCCTACAATAAAAAAAATACATATTTCCATGCAAAAAAATGGTACCGCTTTCAGCACCAAAAATCTGAAATAATCATACCGCCAGGGAGGTTAATAAAAAAAAAAAAAAAACACAATATATTCCAATTTCTTTGTAAAATATAAAAGGGTGTTATGGCAAGTAAATAGATGCCTGTTTATAAGTACTGTAGTTTGTCACCAAACTACAGTATTAATAAATCCTCATAGGTGACGCTTGAAACGTTTTTACAGGTTACCTTTTTCGAGTTACAGAGGTCTAGCACTAGAAGTATTGCTCTCCCTCTTACATTTGTGACAATACCTCACGTGTGCTGCGAACACCATTTACATATGTGTGCACGACTTACATATGCAGTCACTTCTACTCGAGCACGGAGGGATGGGGGCATTTTAAAGATTTTTTTCTTATTTATTTTATTTTTTACACTTTTTCTTCAATTTTTTTCCATTTTTATTCCTGTTACAAGGAATGTAAACATCCATGACTGGTCCTTTTTAAGCACCTCCCGCCCGCCATATAGTAATATGATGGGCGCAAGGTGGTCCTCTCGTTCTGGGAGGACGTTATATGACATCCTCCCATTCTCACTGCGCATGCGCGGCTCAGGGAGCGCGCAGTGCGGCGATCGGGGGTGCGCTGTGTCCCTCGGACACAGCAGATCACCGATCACGGAAAGAGCCGAAGATGTCGGCTCGGTCATGTGATCAGCTCTGTCCAATCACAGCTGATCACATGTAAACAGGGAAATGGCAGTTATCGGCATTTCTCTCCTTTCGAGCTGTCACGCTGACAGCTCGAGAGGAGAGGAGAGCTGGTAATCGGCTTTCCGCAGAGGGGACATGTACACTGATCATCAGGGCACTGATGATCAGTGTGCCCTGATGATCAGTGTGGCCCCAGCAGTGCCACCTGTCAGTGTCCATCAGTGCTTTATGTCAGTGCCTCGTGCCAGTGCCTATCAGTGCCACATATTAGTGCACACATGTACACATCAATGCCACATATCAGTGCCCATCTGAGCTGCCTTTCAGTGTCACCCATCAGTGCCAGTCAGTGCCACTTATTAATGCCAATCAGTGCTGCCAATCAGTGCCACCTATCAGTGCCAGTCAGTGCCACCTATCAGTGCCAGTCAGTGCTGCATATCAGTGCCATATATCAGTGCTGCCTTTCAGTGCCCATCAGTGATGCCTGTCAATGCCCATCAGTGCCACCTACCAGTGCCTCCTCATCAGTGCCACCTATCAGTGTCCATCAGTGCAGCCTATAAGTGCCCATCAGTGCAGCCTCATTAGCGCACATCAGTGAAGGAGGAAAATCACTTATTTACAAAATTTTATAACAAAAACTAAGAAAAAACTTTTTTTTTTCTAAATTTTCAGTGGTTTTTGATTTGTTTAAGAAAAAATAAAAAACCCCGAGGTGATTAAATACCACCAAAATAAAGCTCTATCTGTCACAAAAAAATGATAAAAATTTAATATGGGTACAGTGTTGTCATTCAAAGCGTGACAGCGCTGAAAGCTGGAAATTGGCCTGGGCAGGAAGGGGGTATAAGTGCCCTGTAGGCTAGTGGTTAAGGAGAGATCTAGGGTCAAAAAGACCCCAAATCTCTCCTTTACAATTAAAAGCAAAAAGTTAAAAAAAAATGTTGATCTTTTGCTTTAAAAAAGAAAAAAAATAGTTTACATCCTGCCCGGACCGGATGTGATGGCATGACTTCACTCCAGTCCTCCAAAGCCATAAAGGCGATCAGAGAACATAAAGTCTCTCATCGCCTCTATGAGCAGCTGACTGCACCGTCAGATAATTTCTTGGATGTGCCGGTTTTAATGGTAATCCTGAGAAACAACGATGACCACCGGGAGGGGGGATGTCCCCTCATACTGCTACAGAAAGCTTTCCAATTGCTAATGAGCCACTTGGACTTCTTTCATCAGAAAGTCTGCCGTCTGCTGAAAAAAAAAGATAAGGGGTTCTGGCTGATATCTTCAGCCATAACCCTGGTAAACCATTTGAAAACTACAATGTTTATATATGTATGTGGTCTTCAAGTGGGAGATGCCATGGCTATGGATGTTTTAACAAAATGTAGCCCTATATAGCCTGCAAGAAAAACTTGCCTTGTGAGGCTCACATAAATAGTACATTGTTTGAAAACAAATTGGTAAAAGTGACAATCAGGATAAACATAAACGTAAATAATGTATAAGCTGCCATGTACTATATATCCTGTATGTGAATAAATGTATGCATACAATATGTGTATGGCAGCCCATAGTATTACAGTATTATTACTTTGTTACCAAAGTAAGAACTGTTCAATTGCAGAGTCCAGTGCATACAGTAGTATTGCTGCTCTGTCTTATGCTGTTGGTTGTGTATGGGGCTCCTCTCATCCTACAACGCTCTCTTCAATGAATTGGAACTATATGAGAAACATTGAGGATCAATGCTCCCTGGCAGTACTCTGCACACATTGAAAACACCAATAGGTGGATATACACCCACCAAAATGGTAATATGTGGCAGGACCCATGGGAAAAACATATCAAATTTTCTGGATTATTCACTAAATTAAACTTTGTGAGGTTTATTTAAAAAAAAGTAGAGAATGTTCACATATTCACTTAGTGAATGAGGTGAAGCAAAGTAAAAATAGTTGTTGAAAAGAATACCTCATCATGTGCAAGGAAAAATGAAACTGGATATTTGATTGCAGATGATTGGATAACACAGGTCTGCAAAAACATTTCTCAAGAGCTGTTTTGGTTATTCCACGTAATCTTTATGTTTTTTGGTGCGCTGAATCTGAAAATGACCTCCATTTTGTCATAGGACATCATGTTTTCTGACAATTTAGCTAAATATGTTAAATAAGGCAATACCTCAAAATAAATGGAAATAGACTTATAAAATTAAAGTTTTATTACAATTTTTTTCATGAAAATCCATTTTTGAACTGAAATGAGCTCACCTACACACACTAAACTCGATTCTTCTTCCCTGTGAGGCTCCTCTTGGTGCATTTACGCTTGTGAGTAGCATCTGGAATGTCTCTCTGAAGCATCCAACAGTAGTCTGCCATCATTGTAATGCTCCGTTTTCCCTGGTATCTCCTTTCCATCTCTTTAATGTCTTGGTGGAATCGTTCACCTTGTTCCTCACTCACAGCTCCCAAATTTTCAGGAAAGTAGTCAAGGTGGGACTGGAGGAAATGCACTTTCAAACTCATCAGGCAACCTAAAGCTTGAAATGCTTTCAGCATTCGTCCGACGATCTTTTTGTAGTGAGGATCTTTGTTATTGCCTAAAAATTTCTGTACGACTTCTTTAAATGCAATCCACCCTTCTTTTTGAGGATCCGTCATGGTATTGACAAACTCTTGATCAACCATAAGCCTTCTAATGTCTGGTCCGACGAACACACCTTCCTTCAATTTTGCCTCCGACAGGCCTGGAAACTTGGTGACCAAGTATTTGAAGCATTCTCCATCTCTTGGAAGTGATTTTACGAATTGCTTCATCAATCCCAATTTTATGTGGAGAGGTGGTAGAAGAACTTTATGGGAAGGTACCAAAGTTTCTCGGAGGACATTTTTTTCACCGACTATTAGCACCCTCAGCTGCCAACTCTTCTTGGTCCAGTGATTTTGTCGGTCTTGACTGTCCCATAGACACAGAAAACAAGGGTATTTGGTATCCCACCCACTGGATTCTTCAGGAAAGATTAATTCCTTCTACCATTAGAAGCATAGACTCAGGGCTGAGGCTTACAAATACAGCATGCTGCAGAGTATCCCAGTAGACAGACATGTCACTCAGAGCAGCACTTGTATTCACCCCCTTTGCAGGGGAGAGGGGCAGAAATTGTTTACCTGCTAATAACAACAAAGGGCCAGAAGAGAACTAGGGAAATGAGGAAATAGAATTTTTTTTCCCTAAAACTTGCTTAGCTTATGTATATATTGCTGACCATCAGATTTACAGAGCTATATTTTTATTTAACATAACTCGGACAACCCCTTTAAGGTTTTTTGGCATTTTATATCTTAAATGCACTTATGTGACATAATTAATAGTAATTTGAACTTTAAATTTGGTTAAAAACCCATAATATAAACAAACACAAAAATTTAAAGAAATTGATAAATTTGAAGACAATTTTGCATTTTGTGGCAAATTATGATGTCTAGGAGTTTTTTCAATATTTTATTTGTTTTCAGAACACCAAAATACATGGAAATTACATGAAAATAATCAAACAGCTTTTTAGTCACAGACCTGTGTAATTGAAGTCCACACAACTTCACATCAGTCACTAAGCTAGGTGAAAATTCAATTCAACAGTCTATACTCCTTTAGTAAATGAAGCCTTATATTTCAGTACAGACCCTGTTTATCAGCTGTGAACATTTACACTAGTAGACACAAATAAAGTGCATAGATTTTAGCTGGCTTTGAGACCTATAAACTTACATTATTAGAAGGAGCAGTAAAGCTCAGTCATTGGGGTAGATTTACTAAAGACAAATAGATAGTGCAAGGGCGGTTTCACTCAACAAGAACAGTTGCTCCAGAGCTTTGAGTTGAAGCTTAATTTTGCAAAGAATACCCAATCGCATGCAAGGAAAATGAAAAAAACTTATTTTTTGCTTGCATATCATTGGATGACGGAAGTCAGCAGAGCTTCCCCTTATATACTAAGCTCTGGGGCAACTGCACTTGCAAAGTGCACAGTCCATTTGCCTTTAGTAAATCCACCCAATTGTGTAGTACTGCAAAATAGAAAGCAAAGCCTGTATACATAATGGGCAACTGTGACTTAACCATGCACATTTATAGTTGCAAACAACTTAGAAAATGTATTAACACATCAATGTGATGACTTGCTTTATCCTTAATACTGGCAAGACTATCCATTGCCACAAAATATATATATTTCAGACAAAGCTGAAAACTAAGATTTAAAATGCATACAATAGAGCCTACCTGCTCAGTACTCCATTATTTCATTCATGTATTGTTGTAGCTCAGTAGTTCATCTGATTCACTTTGTCAGTAATCTGGTGATTTTGGAACATCTTTTCTTACTTATTTATAATGCTGAAGAGGTATTCTCAAACACACCCACTACCAGCTCCTTGTCACTCACAAATATTAAGCCCAAACTTAAAATGTGTAATCAATCTTTCAAACCTGTCTTGGAAACCTAAATCTAATAGGTGAGAAAAGAGGTTTCAAGCAGTACCCTATAAACCCTATTACAGAGAAATAGGTAAAGGTAAAATACTGTACTGTATGTGGACTTTTCGACTAGCAGAGTCGCAGTATTTGCTGGGTAAAATTACCAGTTCACTTGTTAGCTGAAATTACTCCTAAGCCATTAAGGAACCTTAGTAAATGGTAAGGGTTTCAAATGACCCACTTAGCAGGAACACTGTCATTAAAAAAAAAAAATTTTGAATCAACAGCTATGCTATCTGGCAGCATAGATCACTGCAGTTGCTGGGATATAATACTATATAATACTGCATGTTTACTTAGTTTTCCTGCACATGCCAGTGATGATCCTAATATAAAACCAATATCTGGGATAACGTTTTTTAAATGAAACACATACTTCTATTTATCTTTTTTTAAGTTGATATTAATGGTTGTAGCATAATCCGGTATAGCAATATGCTGCAAAATTTTCCTCATTATTCTTCTTTAGTTTCATCACATTGCATGTCAGAACCAAATTTTCAAAGTACCATTTACTCCAACAGTGATTTCCAAAGTCTGGCGGATATTACAATATTATTAGCAATTGTTACCAAAAGCATAAGGAATTAAGATTTGCCCGTTCTTTGAAACAAACTTGAAGAAAGTAAGATAAATGAAAGCTTTCAGCTGAATATGCCCTTTCCCAGGTGATCAATTGCACTTGTCATGTGTTATTTTGGAGAATGTGCAACATTTAATAGATGAGGTATATCAAACTAACTACATTAGGAACATGCCAGCTGTCAATATGGCCTCCACCCAACAACATCTTTTGGGAAAGCAAAGATGTGAAATGTGGACAGAACACTATTAATCTGATAGAATGAGTGTAAGTCTTACCATCTGTTGCATATTTCCTAAATAATTTATTTTTGATAGAGTGACTTTTTTACTTCCTTTTTTATTGAACACTTTCCAACAAGACATTAAATGATAAATACCTGAGAAGTCATTCTTGGTATTTCAAATAAAATGTAAAGTGCTGACGTAAAAACGACCTTACTCACTGATGTAGTTGGAGGCGTACAGTTAAAAAAAAC